AATCGCACCATTTTCTGAATATGAATTGACCATATTTTAAATGTGCCCTGCGAAAATAAACCGATTTAGATGAAGTTAGCTTAGTTAGGTTATGTTAATATTAACTTAAACGGATTAAAAAATTTTTTTTGAAATCCTTGATGTATGGTCTATTCGTTTCCGAACACCCTCTATGTTAGGATACAGAAGCAGGTTAATATTAGAACAGTCAATTGAGTTTTTCTCAAAAACGGTGCGTGTTCAGTGATCTCACTAAAAGCACAATTTTTTATATAAATCAAATGTCACATACACCGTAAAAAACATACACATCAAAAAAATATCGTCATAAAACTGGATAGGGTCGTTGCTACTCATTTACCACTCCTGAAAAAAATTCTGACCAACCTATTAACAACGGCTTTTACATGTCAGTAATAAAACTGAATCTGTGTGTATATTTTAATGATCACTGTGTGTCCAGAACCCCTAACCATCGACACAATACGACACTGATTTCCAATACTAGCGTGCCAGGGCAAGTGAATAATGTGGCGCGGCCCAGACAAAGCCTTCTACGTACACGTAATTCAGCTGTTTTGCATACAGTTCGGTTTTCACTTGTTCTTATCGGCTTAAGGCAGCCTCCTGCTATGGCGACGGTGTAGCGGATCGTCACGACATTGGACATATCGGGATACCTACTCACAGCAAAGAGATTTAAAAATATCGGGTGTTTAACCGTGCCAGATGTAATAAAAGCGAGTAATTATATACAAAAGTCGAGAACAGTAAACTAACAGCCCCACGTTGATAATAATTGTTAAAATGGTGATAAGTTGTGATTTTAGGTAGACCACCACGACACGGTCGATAGCCGCACGGTTTAAGGCGTCAATACTTAAATCGATGTGTCGATCTGCCCGGGTTTCGAATCCCGCGGCCGGTAGACCGTAGATTAGCTATGCCTGTACGGAGGATTGGCACCCTCTATGCAGGTATGGTAGGGTGGAAGAATGTTGGCTTGGGTCAATGTGAGAGATTGACACCGGTTGGCATTTGACCACCCCCCTAATTAATGAGGTTTTCCAGGTTTCCCTAATTCCTGCACTGAATGGTGGTTAGGGCCTACCAACATAAGTCGTTCCTGAGCGCAAATGCGGCCTGCGTAATAATAATATGCCGCCTCCTCTCCCGCACAAGTCTCCGACTTCTGGGCTAACTCTCGTAGTTAGAATGAGGAGTAGAGATATTATTATTATTTTAATTTTAATTTTTTTAATTTTTAATTATTTTAATTAAAACGAATTTGTAAAAATAATTGGAAAATTTAAATTATATTCTTATCTCCTGGGGTTATTTTAAATCATGATTCAGAAGTATAGAACCACTGGTTTTCAAAATTAAAGATATATCTCTGTGTCCAAAAAATAAGGTGAAAATTTGCGAGTATTATGAAAGCATACAATTATTTTTTTGTAGGTTGGTACTGTCCTTATCTATGCAGATTTTCAAGTTAATATCGTCAATTGCTGCAGAACTACTCGTGTTTTTGTGAACATACGAAAGTGAGTTTAACGATTTTCACTATGTCTGATTTTGTTGAGCAAAGAACTCGCATTAAGTTTTTGCGGAATGAATATTCTGCCGCGGGAACGTTGAGGATGTTACGGAAGGCCTTTATTGATGAGGTTATGTCGCTAAAATATGTTTACAAGTGGTACAAAACTTTAAAGAAGGCAGAGAAAGCATTAAGGACGAACAGCGTCAATCAAATCAAGGCTATTGTGCTCGAAAACCATCGATTAACAATAAAAGACCTTGTTGATACTGTTGGCATTTCAAAAGGTTCGGTAGATACCATTTTAAAAGATTTGTTGTGCATTAAACGCATCAATCTCGTTTGGTTCCAAAAACGCTCAACTTTTTGGAAAGAATGATGTTGCGTTGACATATGAAACAATTATTTCCCACTACCAAAAATCGTGAAACGCATCATTACTGGCGACGAGACTTGGATCTACGCTTACGACCCGGAAACAGCCGATCAATCGAGTGAATATAATGCATAAGGTGAACCAAGACCGAAAAAAAAACACGCCAGTCACTCAAAAATCAAAGTCATGTTAACAATTTTCTTTGATATCGTGGCGTAGTGCAATGAATTTCTTGCAACCGGTCAAACTGTTAACAAGGAATATTATTTAAGTGTTATGTGTCGTTTGCGTGATGCTATTCACCGCAAAAGGTCGGAATTATGGACAGACAACTCTTGGTTTCTGCACCTTGATAATTCACCGGCTCATTGATAATTCGACCATTTTGCCAAAAATTCAACTCATGTCATTCGGCAACCACCGTATTCGCCTGATTTAGCACCGAGCGACTGTCACTAGCAATCCCAGGATTCCGATATTGCTAAATATTTTATGAACTGGATGAGCGCATTTAATTTCTAATGTTCTTTTTAGGAAAAATATTCGAGAAACTGTAATTTTCCATTTAATATATTTTTTTATCCAACATTTGTATATAATGATACTATAATTTCTTTGGTTTTAAAGGAATAATGTGGCCTATTAACTATAGAAATCATAAAAAGACAAATATTTGGTTTATTTTTCTAGTTTTTATTAGAAAACTAATTTGAAACAGTAACAAGTCAACCTAAAATGCTACAAACTTACAATCTACCTACTTATTAATATTAACATTAACAATTATGGTAAAGCCGTAATTTGATGCCAAAGGATTATTGGAATCATTTTGTGATTATGGTAAATTTATAGAACAGAACAGGTTGCCCCTTTGCTTGTGCTTGCTTCAGAAGTCTGCACTCCTTGTATCTTTTAGCATTATCAGTTTTGCTAGAAATTGACTCTTCCATATAACCTTCTGACTTCCATCCACCGTGGCGTTTGAGTGTTGTAATATCTCCTCCAGCATTGGCCAAGAGAGTTACAGATGCGCGACGCAAGCCATGCCCTATGTATAAATTAGAATCTGTCAAGCCCAAAAATCGCCCAACATTAAGGATTTTTGATAGTTTATTAATACCAACACATTGACATGTGCTTTTTCCTTTTTGAAAATTGCAAAAGAACCTTCTATGCTGCCTCAGCTTAGAATATTTTCTAACTAATTCAATTGGATTAACACAAAATCCTTCATTTAACACGGCGAAGCTTCTTGGTTTGTTCGTTTTAGTATTTGAAAGCCCTTTGTCCTCTATTCCTCACAACGACAAGCGCCAAAAACTCCTAATATCAACGTCACCTAAAAATAACAAATTTAATAAATATAAACTCAGTTAAAATATTCAGTAGAACCTACCTTATTCATAAGATGATCTTCGTCTAGGGCTTCACGCAAAAATTGTTAGATTTGTTCTCTTTCTAAGACCTTGGATTATTTGGTTGAAAATGTTTGTGCTTAGACTTTAGAAATGCCACTAGTCTTCCGAATTTAGAAATTTTAGTGTTCTTGTAAACTCTCAAAGTTGACTTCAACATCCTTCCACAATGTGGATGGAGCTAATTTCTCACTTAAACTGAAAAAATAAGCCAGCAAGACATCTTCATTTACGCCTTTCACCCCTTTGATTTTCCAATCTGGAAATTCCTTCAGTTCTTTAGATAGATTTTGATTTCTCTGGAATATGACGCCTGCAGTACCCGCATTAGCTTTTTCTAAAATTTCAGATGGAATTTCCACATTTTCCATTTTTCCAGTCTTGGTTTTAGGATTTCAACGTGTAATAATAAATAAAAGTAACTTAAAATTTCATGTTGTCAATGTCTGAAAAAGTAATTTAACGAAACGAATGTATTTTTAAATATTACAAAGGATGCGAGTATCAACCTAAATTGTTTCCAAAATTTCGTTTTTTTCCAAATATTTCGAAAACAAATCATGTTAGCATTGATTTTTAAGAAGCATAATGTTGGTCCCCTGATTACGCAACCTTGCCCCCATTTAAGCTACATCGTATCTCTTACCGTTTCTGCGATACCTGTAGTGAGAAGCGAATTTGTAACAGCCTGTATACTTTCTTGTGAAATAGTTAATATCAGAGTGATTTTAAATGTATTTAACTGTTTGATAAGCTTACTGCAAATTATAAATATAATACTTAATTAGATGGCTTATTATTAATTTTTTTGTAATAAAGTGAAAAATCATTAAGTGGAGGATACCATTTTTTTCTTAGAAATACTACAGAGCCTTCATAAATGTTTGCAAGCCACGTGACCACCGAGCTTAGGCAACCCAACATTGCAAGATTGGTACTAGCAACGAAAATTTCCTATCTTGGCGTCACCAATATTAACGATTCGTTGAAATAGTAACATACCGTGACCTGCGCTCGAGATAATGAGAGATAGAATCACTTGAAAAATTACACCTATCACAGCCGGTGAAACAGAATATTGTGATTTAGTGTACCTATCTATCTTGAACTTATTGTTTTAATAATTTTTAATTACACCAAAATTTAATTACCAACATAAAGGAAATAAAATTACTGTTCCAAAGAGTGGTATCGAAATTCTGGTATTCTTAATTACAGTGCTCCTTGATATCTATGTCACTGTTTATGCTCTACATCTCTTACAATAAGAAAAGAACAAAACACATCTGGAGCGTCTAGACAGACGTTAATACCGAACTTGCCTAAGATTTCTTATAGTAATTCATTAAATTCTTGTATTAAATCATGTCATATCATTAACACAGCAATATGCCAAGAATTCTCAGATTTATTTTATTGTTTTAATAAGTGCATTATATATATTTTTTAATTTCATTGTCATTGGTCTAGAATCTAGACTCTAGATCTAATCCACTTTGACTGTAACATTTTTATAAATTATACGGAGTTACTTTAATGAGCTCCATCTTTCAAGATACATTTCAATTAACTCTTAATTGGGATATTCTTATGCATTTCAAATTCTATATTTATGTGTTTAAGGTAATTTAAATAAACTATATATTAAACATTTTCTCTTTTGTTACAGGAACATGCTACATAGGAAACAGAAACTCAACCACGCTGCTGTCTCTCGTCCTGATCCCATACTTTCTCTACTTCACCTTTGGAACGCTTCTGCTCATTTTGGGATGCACTTATGTCATCAGAAAACCGCGCCCCCTAGCCGCTGCTCCCCTAACTAACGCGGCGCCAAGAAAAGAAAGTGACTTCCTAGGAGCTATATGCACCCTCTACGCAATCCCTACTTTCTGCGTTATGGCTAGCATTTACTACGAATACAACAACAGAGAGAAATGGCTATCGGAAGAAAGGAAACCTGCGCTGTGGGCTTTCTTGCTGAAATACTTTATGGCGCTATTCATCGGTGTGAGTGCGGTGTTTTGGATTTGGTCTATGAAAAGCGTCACCGCATGGAAATCGGTTTTGCGAAGGCTGGGCCCTAGGAAACAGCCACCCTTAAAAGTACAAAACATACCACCTGTTATGAGATACGTACCTGCACAAACATTGTCTACTAGTTTAAGCACTACCTCGAGGCACTCTACGCGGTCACATCCCCATAGAAAACCGAGAGTCCATCATATGAGAACCGGTGGAGAAACCGTCATATGAAAAATGTTCTTAATTTTTATTCATAGGATTTCTATCATCGAGTTTCGGTTGCTTTTATGAAAAGTGACAAGGAAGCCATAAGACGTCGGGCCGCAGCCCAAAAGAAAATAAAGGAAATCAATCCTTCTGTATTTTTTTGTAAATAGACTGTGATCTAATTTGTATACAAATATTTATTTTTATATATACACAACTCCTGGCCGTACAGTTTTTTGTACTACAAGTATTAATAATAATAGAGTAACAAGTTCTCCCAAATGCCTTCTAAAAGTCAGTTTTATGACTTAACCAGATATAGGAGAGGGTTTTTCAGACTTAAGCCTCCACAAAGACTACATATCTGCCTGACTCATTAAATTGTAGTGAACTATTAGTTTCTGTTATTTTTGTACATAGAAAGGTGCCATTACATTATATGTTTCTTTATTATCTAAACGCTACTATTAGTAATTAATTGTAAGACTTTTATACATATTTTAAAGATCTTTTAATATTTATTTAGGTAAGTTTGTGTAAAAGTGTCTAATATTGTGATATATGTCCCTAGATATAAAATTTAGACAATAAATCTTTTGATAATATTACTTGTATACATTTTTTTAAATCCTTATCTCCTGTAAATGGCCTGATAATCAGTACGTAATTTCTCTAATAACTAAGAAATGTATTGTATTTTCATGTTTATCTAAATGTTCAATTGATTTTCAAATGAAAAAAAAAGGAAAACATTTTTCCTGGAGTTTTATATGGGATAAATTCCAGGACAATATTACTTTTGTCAAACCAATTAATCTACAAACCTCATTAAACTACTTCTATTCTAGAAGATGTTGTTTTTTTTCTAATGTGACTAATTGTTCTTAAAAATGTACTATAAATTTCATTTATTTTCATTGACGTTTCCACTAAATTACAAAACAATTTTGATATCGACATTATTATAATTATTAGGAATGGGCTTTAATTTGCTTTAGTTGCTAAATGATTTTCTAAATAAGTCATAATTTTCTGTTTGGACTATGCTTTAAATAACAGCACTGAAAATAAATTTTCTAAAATCTTTTAGAAGGTAGGTACACAACTTTTTTCTCACATTATCTCTTGTTACAGAATCAATCGTACCAACTTAAAATTAAATTTAAATTGGATGGGTAAAATAAATGATGGAATTATCAAAAATCTCGTTTTCGTGATATAAATTGCAAAAAAAATCAGATTTTTTTTAGTTTATGTGTAAAAATGCTTTACGCAGAGTGGGCTCCATCAAGTTTCATCACTGCTATGAGAAATTCAGTGAGTAATAGAGGCTTAAAATTTTATAAAAGATGTGTAAAAGAAACGAGAATTTCGTATAAGCTTAAGAAAAAACAGAATTTATGTTTTTTTTCTAGGTTTTTACTAGACAAAAAATTTTATAAGCGAGTTTATGGAAACCAAGTAGGTACCTACCAAAATAATATGAAAGTGTTTAAAATCTAGACAACAACTTCCAAATGTACGATTCTCGATCAGCTAAAACCGCTGGTGGTATCAGTTTTTTCCATATTTTATTGTTTAGCAGAAAATTGCAAAAAAATGAATTATCACAAAATAGTTATAACATAACCCAACACAGACAGTGACAAATTAATAATGTAAAACCAGTAAAACCACTGAGAATCATACAAACTTTACTACTTGACTCGTCAACTTGAAAATATCCTTTAAATTCACTGGTACTTAAAAGTCACTAGTAATAAGGCTATAACTACGGATTTCGTTAAAATATGTCTTCAAAGTAATTTCTCCAATAGGGTGAAACATAATAGTAACTATGACTCAACCGGGTGATTGCAATGTAACTTTAAAATCAGGTGCGTAGCTAGAGCGGCAAGGGAGGTCACGGCCCCCTCTAGAGAACCACGTGCCCACCCCCCAAAAACCCAGAGGTAACAAGTTTCGGCTAAGTTTATTACGAATTTCCACAAATCTTCAGGGACGACGTTGAAACCGCCCACCCTAGGGTACTAGGTACCTCGGAGGCCGTTGCCGCCGTGATATTCGTGTAGGGTCGCAAACTTTCTGGACGCTCTAACGAATCGAATGCAAAAAAACACATCATAATCCATCTTACTGCACAGATTTCGGAGGTACGGCCGTTTTTAGTGCTTTATTTCCTCGACTGATATTGGCTGATGAAGAGTTAAATATTATTAATAATAATAATTTATTAATCAGAAGAACCTTACAAGTGATACGTCATAAAAGGAAGAGGGTTATATATTTACCCGATAAAAATACAGACAAAAACAAAAAACGAAGTCACAACATATAATATAAAATGTTATATTTATAACGTACGTCCTAAAAATAATTTATTCTCATAGATACATATAACACACATAGTTACATTTAAAAAAGTCTAATCTCATAAAAACAGTTATCTATCAGATATGCCCTTAATTCTTTTTTAAACTTATTTTCACATCGTATATCCTTTATTACATTTGGTAGTTTATTATCAATAAATGCAGAGTACTGATGATTTTCATAGGTAGGTACCTGTTTATATGCGCAGCTGAAGCGTTTTGACCGGCATATTTTCAGCTGATCGTGACTTTTTATAATTTTTTGTTATAAACAAAGTATACCATTTCAGCTTTGGTACTATTATTTTTTTTGATATTTTTCAACGCGAGAGTGGCCCTATTACTCCCACCTCCTCCCGAAGATTGTCAGCTGAAAGTTGTTTGGTTTATATACCATATAAGACTTCTCATATGTGTGAAAGTCAGCCTTGGTAAAATGACTACCTACCCTTAAAATGCCACGGGCTCCCGGACTATTACATTAGAGCTAAAAATGAACGGCATTCTCCACTCACAAATTAACATTTATTATAAATTCCATGATGTACTTATCACCAACCTGTTACCTACTTTAAAAATCGTGGCGGGATCAGTTACAAAAACGTTATTGAATCTACTTAGCTACCAGAACATTATTCGCCACTTTGGTGAATAAACTATAATAATTTTATTACCGATCATTTTTATTGTCGCTTTGATATTTGCGATTCGTTAATGCGGTGATAAGTAGATACTACTGGGAATCTCTGATTTTACGACTACCTACTCTCTGGAAACATCAACCTAAGGCTAAAATTAGGTGCAAGAGTTTTAGTGGTATTTTAAAATAAATTTAGTAAAGAGAAATAGTCGAGAATTTCTTCAGATGTTGCCTAGACAAATATTTTAGACGTACAATGAACGTTTAGGGACTGAATGTTCGATGTTCTTGGGTCATGCATTTTGGACGTCACCAGTGGTCCATGAATGGACACTTTGGACCTTTTAAGGACGTCGTGAGGACATCCCTGAAGGGTACAAAATATACGTTCATTAATAAATATTTTATGCCCATTGACGTTCGCTTAAGGGCGTTATTCAACATATGATGGGCATCCGTTTTCCGTACAATTGAACCCCCCCTAGGATATTCACCGACGATTTTTGAATCGTTTAGAGACGTTTGAAGGATGACCCCGATGTGTACAGTGGATGTCCTAAACTGGAAATTTTTGAAATATTATTATTTATTATAATAAGTAAATTATCACACTTAAAAATATGTTACAAAGGGTATACGTATACAGAAAAATATAGGTACTTATTCTATAAGTAAAATATTATTTTCATTTCTACATTTTCATTAGCTCCCCGTAACTACAGAACCTTCATAAATGATTACAACCCACTGACCAGTAATTTTGTTTGGAAGAGTTATTTTATTTCCTTCATGTTGGCATTTAAATTTCGGTAAAATAAAAAATTATTAAAACAACAAAATCAAGATTACCCGTTCCGCAGCGACTGCAAAGCAAAATGGCAAAGCAATTATTAAAATTTATCGCTGGAATATCTATCATATTAATTTAATATACTACATACCTACTCGTTTGTATAATATTTACGGATTTTACATCGTTGTTTGGTGATATGCACTAAAATTTACCTTATAACAAAAAAAATGTCATTTAAAAAGCAGGACTCTTATTTTTAGAAGACACTCGATCGAAGATAGTTATAACAATATGTTTATATTGACAATTATAACAATCTCTCCAAACATCCCAACATATAAGTAACCAACAGAAATAACAAATTATTTTTTTATTTACACAAAGCATATACATACGTTATACTTTGTGGTTTTCATTTGACAGTACCGTCACAGAAAATTTATAGGGATAGATAACAGATTTTTCCTTTCTCTATGCGGAAATTGGAAATTTTTTTAGGGACGCCTATGAAACTCATTAAATTTTATTACCAGACGTTTTTTTGCATATTCAACTGACTTCGGAAGGACTATACATGATTATTAATCTGGAGCAAGTTGATAAACATTTCTTATTTTCTTATTTTCCTAAAGTTGTCCAGCGGACGTATTTTTAATAACGTTGAAGTGATGTACACTGTTGGACATCCGTTGGATATCCATACTACTCATGAAACGCTCAGTTGTAAAATGGGCGTCCTGTGGATGTTGGATGTTGGATACTATATTCAGTCGCGAAAAAAAGCCTTATATGGGTGTGAGATGACACACCCAAATTCAAATTTGCCGAGGTCTCTTAGTGTCATAATAACGTTCATACGCCAAGCCAGAAATCTACTGAAGGTGCTCAGCGTCGGATTTACGCTTGTGAGGTGAGGCCTATGGGCAGAAATTTGATGGGGGCCTCAGAGGAATAAGTAATATTCCTCTGAGGTGGGGGCCTAGTTAACGGAATGAAAAAAACATTATTTTTTATGCGTCTCTCTCAAGATTTTCTTCCGAATTTATTAAATAAATAATCTGTCTTGTTTTCAAATGAATAATTTAAACATTGCAATGAAAATTAAATTGTATTTTCTCTAGGGACAAAAATTTACAAATTAACAAAAATTAGTGAATATTTTTCTTATAAAGTGTAGAGCATAATAATTAATTTTAGTACTAAAATAATAATAATACTCTTGATTGATTATTTATTGATTACTTATTGATTAATTAATTGATACTTAAAAAAGTTTTTATATTTGAATTTAAATTATAATTAATCTATACAGCGTGTCCCACTAGTGCGGGAAAGTCCAATATCTATGTTAAAATGAGGAATATATGGATTTTTCTTTTTATTGTGTTGCCACATTTCTCGGAATGTACAAATTAAAAATATATTTAATTATACAGGGTGTTCCACTTTTCCTGGACAGACACCAACTTTGTTTTTTAAATGGAAACACACATTATTTATATTTTTTTCGGATTCAACATAAAAAATAAAGGGTACTTTATGTAGAATAGTTCTATTCAAATATTCACAGTTTTTGAGATAGCTCGCTTGAAAGGTTTTTCTAGTCGATATTAGTTGCTTACATTTTCTGATACTGACAGGTTATACTAATAGCTACTAAGCCCATTTTTTTATCAGATGTTTAGTAAGGATGACTCTTCCGAATCATGCTCCAAAAACTGGCCTGCGTTATACAGGGTGGCCAAAATATCATGTCAAAA